TGTTCATAATTTAAAAAATTACGCTTATAAAGGAGGTGGAAATAAACTCATTTGCAATAGCGTACGTACTTGTGGCCCAATAAATGTGTGAACCATGATCCATTAATATAACTCCATTCTCACCTTCTTTGTAAAGAGGTATTCGCTTGCGACTAAAGACCTTTCATATGCCCAGAAATTAAGCTACTTCACAGACAATGAGTCCGCTATTTTTGACCGGTCTTTAGACTTGAGATTATTAATTAAGAAATTTATAGAGAAAACTGGAGATTGCTTGATGTAGGCGACAGTCACAGTCAGGTCCAAATATCTGCCAAACACGCCTTCTTCTCATTTGAGTAAACTTACACTGCCTCATTTACTAAAAATTTGTTTCTTGTTGATATTTATCCGTTGTCTTCATAGCTTTCCCATTGGCTGCTGTCGAATGTGACAAAAAATGTATGTAAATCTATGAAGCCATAAAAAAAGTTCAGTCTACTGACACTAAAGTTTCCAAATCCAAAACATAAACGAAACAAAAAATTACAGAAATTTATACTTAATACACTTAAGTGGCACACAATTAGATTAGTTTACCTTCTACATAGTTTTTAGTCCCCATTTATGGTCATCTTTCCACATCAATAAACCGTAGAAATTGAACGAACCCTGACTGACCCGTCGGCATTGGAGGCTTTTGCCCAACTGCACTTTTTGAGTCCGAAATCAATGTTTGTGAAAAATGCCGCATAGCAAATTAACGGCTAAATGGTTACTACGAGTTACTAAAAGTACTTTTTTCGGCGCACAAACACTTGGTGAAGGCACATAAACTTAAAGTCAGACGCAAGTATTTTTATTTGCAATTCAATTGACTGCAGGCAACACCCACTAACGGCAGCCAAATAAATACACACATACACGTATGTAGAGATATGCGTAGTCCACTTGTGGGGCTAACATTTACATGGCCAATAGTTTGAAGGGCTTTGGAGCCATTTGTAAAAATGTAAGCCGAGAAGTTATACCGACGTACAGTTGTCTATGTACACTGGACTAGCTGGAAGACAGCATGGGGATGGCGTTCGAACTAAAGTGGCCAGCCATGCTTTTAGTTTCACATTGTATTGCATCCCTTTCACTCTGCACAGCTCCACAGGAGCACGGACGGATACCACAAATAGTTATGTAAACAATCACGACAAACTCTTAAGTGATTCTCTTTGCGGTGGTCTAAGTTGCTTGTGGGGGGCGATGTAAATATATACCATTCTTCATGCATGTATGTACATAAATACAAATACACTACTATTAAAAACAAAACATGCTTTATGTGTACGAAAGTTGGACAAGGGTCATTAAACAATTACTTACGAAAATACAATGTAATGGAGTTGCCGGCATTCTCGCCTCACTCACTGTACATACGAGTATTCGTGTGCTCTCTCTCTCTCTCCAGGGTATACTGACAAACAAACAACAACAAGAATAAAAAAATCTAATAAAATAGAACCGTAAATTGTACGGTATGCAAAGTGTGGGCGGGAAAAGTTTGAGTGATTTTGCAAATTGAAAAACTCTGGCAATTGCCAACTGCAAACTGAGTGTTATCAAATTGCATTTTTGTTGTTAGTATTTTAATTGAAAAAAAAAAATTAGGAATAATATTGCGAAAATGTATAGAAAAATTAGAAAAATATTTGTTGTATAGTAACAATCCCAAAAGCATTATCACAGCACATGTGACTCTAATATAAAGGGTTTTCTAAAAGTTAGAGTTATTTTAGCATTGGAAGAAAAATGGCATTTTTTGAGAAACATGATCGGATATTCGTTTCAATGTTAAGAGGAGAATATGCCTTTAAAAATGGAATACAATTTGATTTTGAAACAACCGCCCTACGCTTACAGGACCGCATCCTTTTTATGAAATTTTCCATCACCAAATCGCTAATTGGCTGATTTACGCCTTCAATAGCTATACGAACTCCATATTTGAGGTCTTGAATCGATGTTCGGGTATTGACGTAGATCTTATCTTTCGCGTGGCCACTAAAAAATGTTAAATCAGAAGACCTCGATGGCAAGTTGCGATCATCTCATCTTGCTTGTGTAGCACGTGGTGCCAACTAGTTGATGGCAAACGTTTATCTTTACCAACCAATACTGGCTAAAAAAAATTATTAATCATCTCTCGAAAGCACAATTGATTCACCGTAACTATGGCTCCAGCCTCATTTTCGAACAAGTAATGTCCAATGATCTCGCCAGACCAAAAACTGCACTAGACAGTCACATGTTGCAGATGGAGCTGCTTTTCAAAAATCAATGTTGCGTTTTCCGAGTCCCAGATGCGATAGTTTTGCTTCTTAACGTAGCCATGGAAGTGAGAAATGAGCCTCATCAATCAAGATGATTTCTTAATGAAATTCTGTATCATTTGATACATTTCAAGGACTGAGTTAGCAAAGACACAACTTTGTTGATGATCGGCCGGCTTAAGTTCTTGTGTTAACTGAACTTTGCAAGACTTAAGATCCCATTCCTTATGCAAAATACGGTGTAATGCCAATTTCAAAGATTGGCGGCGTGAGAAAACACCTGGGTTTTAAACGGAACGATCGATTGTCTGTCCTGAATACTGAAGGTGTCTTTAATGGCGTATTTTATTTGGCTCCGTAATAACTTCGCGTGCTGGAGAAATGTTTTCAGTTAAATGTACTGACTTAAAAGAGGAAAAGCTTCCGGTCACCGCTCCTGTTCTGTCGTGTGGGCTGCTCCACTTCGATGACATGGCAGTCACAACGAGACTTCCAACTTATAAACCATCATCTGCATTAAATCCTTGGTCGAATTGGTGTCCAGAGCATTTTTGGTGTTAACTGTATTTTTATTTTTACTTTATTTGAAATAGTGGTTCCTTTCATATTATATTTCTGAGTGTTCGACTATAGTGTTCTTGTGCTTTAAACGCTTTTGTTGTTGTTGGTGATGTTTTGAGAGCCATTACATTACCATAAATATTGGTCACCGGCTTTAGTAACCTTACCGCCAGAGTCATCCTTGAAGTTCACACCCTTAATTCCACCGACGACCACAGTTTGTCTCATATCACACACAACAAAACAACCCTATGGGGAGGGGGGCAGTTCCTGGAATAATCCCACATACAATAGCTTGGTAGGTAACAAGTTTTGGTTCTCTTTCGTGGTCTTACCGAAACCACGGTCAACCTTCTCCTGGGTTTCAGGGCATTCGCCGACAATGAAGGCGATGTGACAATTCAGCACTGGAGTATAACCATGAAATTCCGCTAGGGTGACTCAACACAATAATCTGGGTGGTGAAATCGGCAACTTCTTTGGGTGCGCTAGCCACTGAGTCACCAGCAGCATGTGTAACAATGTCTCAACAAAAATGTGCTTAACGTTGGAAGCAACGCTATCAGCGGATATTGCTTCTTCAAATTGTACACTACCTTCATGTCAAAGCAGAGCTTTGTCGATTGGGCGACTTGAGCGAAGAATGGCATCAAGGGTTTCAAAAAGAGTCTTCTCTTGAACCATGGCATGTTGGTGGACGCTTTCAACATGTTCGGTGACAGTTAGATATTGGTACGAAAGCAACATCAGTTAGATTAGAACTAATCTTCTTATTGTATGAAGAAACTTCCTTCTTGGCTTCCTCATAACGATCCTTGCTGTATAGTGACCTAGAAGAGTTCATTTTGTTGACACCAATGACCTATTGTTTCATATTCATAATGAAAGCAAACACCGAATACTCACGAGTCGGTTCGTTCTTTCCGATGCCGCTAATACCAGCGGCAGTAATCATGTTCTAAAAGAAATCTCTGTGGCCAGGAGAGAGACGATGGTGATGACATTGTATTTGGAGGTCTCAAACTGCCACAAGGTAATATCTATGGTGACAGCATGTTCACAATTTAGCTCAAACCGTGGCGTACTTAAAAGAACCGTTACTGATTTCATGTGCTTTCCTCTCGAGCTTCTCAAGTGTACGATGGTCGATACCACCGCACCATTAGATCAAGTGACCAGTGGTGGAAGACTTTCCAGAATCGACCTGTCCGAAAACTACAATTTAAATATGAGTATTCTCCTTAACCATTCTGCTTTTTTGTCAGCGAGGAAGGTCGATACTCTTGGAATAGAATAGTTCGAAAGAAAGTAGATCCGAGAGAGCCTTATTTTACTCTGGTGTTAAAGATCGAGCGGAAAACATTTTTCACGCATAGCATTGCGGTAAGATTGGTACTATTTTTGTACTGGGTTCAGAATACCGTAGGAGTGTATTAGAAAATACTTAGCAGCCTACCCTTATTCCTGCTATTGATTGAAAACTTGCATGTCGTATAGGGTTTCTGAAGTGAGTACTCGAATCTGGACTGCACTTTCTTACTTTGGCTAATGCAGCAAACTCCAGCACCGATGTCTTGGGACAATGTCGCCACTAAGTCAGCTCTGAGTTTTGCATCGTTCGTAGGTTCTCTTTAGGAACGCTTGACACTTTGCAACGAAGCGAATGAAGTAAGGAGTTCCCGTAGACAGATAAATGTCCGTGGCAGTTGCGCGATATGCGAGTTAGATTGAAAATGACTTCGTCAAAATTGCTTTTAAAATCCGCCTTTTATAGGCAGGAAGAGTTAAGATGAATCCGACGAAGTGTCAAAAAAGTAAGACAGCCGGCAAAGACCTTTCAGAAGCATAAAATAACCGTAAGCTAAGGACTCAAATGTGTGCGGAAATTTATTGTTTTAAAGTATCCAAAGTAAACTCCTTCGTATGTAACGAATGAGAGCAAAAGGAAAATCAAAATTATATTAAATTAATTTATATAGGAGTATAACAAAACAAAGAAAGATACATCGCACTTGAAATATATTTTAACACCAGTGTCTACATAAATATGTACGTGGAATAGTAATGCTTACAACAACAAAAAACACAAACGTTCGTGTCATAACAGTTTCCTCTTTACTTATCTTCTATTTGCAGGATGATCATAAGGCGTTTCGACGTCAACTGGAGGACAAACGTCCCATAGTCGAAAGCAATTTATTGAGTGGACGTCAATATATATCGAGTGAGCCACCAGTGTCGGACAATAGCGATACGGAAGGTAAGTAAAGTCTACATACACGTACAAACATATTTATTGCGTATAGCGTATATATATATATATATACACCAAAGAATGGAAATAGTGGGTTTAAAGTGAAACTGACTGAAGAGGCAAACACATATACACCCTTAGTGATTAAATGGGCGTATGTAGGTATCAGCCTAGGAGTTCCCGAAACTGCAATAAGAAAAAATTTTCCCAAAAAAATATGAAAATTTTGTAAACGAATCTTTGTGTATTTAAAGGCAGTTTGATTTTTCTTTGAAAAAATTATTATATTTTAGCGGATTTTGTTAAATACGCCTCAATGATTTCCCAATTCCTTCTAGTACGATCAGTGGGTCGCTAAATAAAGTTCCAAAATTCTTTCTGCAATTGCTTACTTGTAAAGAATTCAATCAACTTCGATTTTTCTATTTATTACTCAATAAATCATAATTTGTTTTACTATACACAGCGACTTATACAAATACTTTTACACACTTCTATTTTCACTTTGCAACAATGTTGTCACCAACGAGTTCATTTTAGAACTGACTACCGTCGCCTTGGCCGTTCCCTAGTATACCTAATTGGTTGCTCGTACGCAATTCTAGTACTTTCTGACATGCTTTTACGATATACGGAACACTTGAATCTCGCATTTTAGAACATGTTTTAGTTATTGGTATCACCTTTTCAACTGTCTTTCGTATTTGGCATTTTCGTCACAATATTTTTGCCGACTTAAAATAAATATTTATTACCTGGAAAAAGAATGGTCGCCAGGACAGATCCTATTAACACAAAAATTCACTCTGACTCACTTCAGAGTCAGTCAAATGACAGTTTTCCGTACTCATTCTCATTAAGAGCTAATAGTGTTTACCACCAAAAGGCAATGAGGTTCCTTATTTAGTAACTTCTTTAATCTATTGCGTGCAGCAGTGATTAAGAAAGGTAAAATCTTCTACAAAAGTGTATAGCTGCTGACGTACGCCATTCATCGGCTCTCACCGCTCTGTTGTTATTTCAGCAGGAAACTCTTAATGGTCGGATATTGGAGCATTGTTTCCGTCATCATCGATTTGGGTCTCGAGAAGTGACGCTTTCGTTGCCACTCAATAGTTTAGAGTCACTTACTCTGGACATCCATCACCAGATGATCAGTCCTATTTTTTTACCCTATCGAAAGCGAAATGACGTTCCGCAGTTCTCTTATACCAAGCTACATATAATTGCTCTCAAAAAGCAAAAATCTTCTCGGCTATTTGTTGTGATTTCAGTCCTTCTACTTTGAAAATTCTCTGTGTTTGTTTATAGGCGATCTTTGCTGCACAGAGTCGAGTGCGTAACCTGGCTGCTATCTGATAGTTGGGTTCTCGGAGTGTACGTACGTCAAAAATACCTGAAACATGTCTTACATCATTCACAACATGATGGATTTGGGTGCATGATTTTCGTACTGACGGCAGGCGTACAGTAGATAAATGAATATTTTAGTGCATTCCCCTAGGTACTCGATGAGTTTCAGTCCGTGTGGAAATTTTTGAGCGCTGATGTTTGTTTTCTTATCTTTTTTTGCCAAAAAAGCTTCCATGATTTTGACACCGCGACAAGGTGCTCACAAAGAGCATCTTTAGTTACATTTCACTTCTCCTCCGTGGGACATGGATACAAATCAGCAATATTTGGAAAATTTTCGCTTTTATACGGATTATGGCAAAACGTCCACCCACCGTGGTGCATGTCAAAATATGGGGCGGAGTTTCTCCCTTACCCAACCACACCATCAATGCATTATATGACCGCTTTGAAAGATACCACACGGAACCACTTTCTTCAGTTTTCGTACCGTCCATCGCATTTCTTTGGCGAAGGTGTTGTCAGCCTCTAGACTTACTTACTTAGTTAAGGCTTTGAATATATCAGGTGCATGTGTTCAAAACGTGATCCTTAAAACGTTTACATGGATAGTCATCAAAACGGATATCTCTCATTCGATGCTTAATTACATGATCTTTTATTGGAGTATATGTTTAATCTAGAGGGTTTCGAATCCACCTTCTGACTTTAGCTCACCACCGAACGGATATTTGTAGACTACTAAGAGGTAATTTGCTCCAAAACCGAAAGTTTTGAGTTGCTAGAATCATATGGAAGAGAAGCATTTCCTGCCAAATTTTCATATAATACGACTACTAGTTCCTTTTTCTACTAGTATGAGACCGGTATATTTCATGGCAAAGGTCAGTGATAAAAAAAAACCAACGGCTGATATTTAAGTAGTCAACTTGATTGCACGGTGATTATCTACTTACATACCATTCAGTCGCCTGGTCTTCTAAACATATATGTATTTATACGTATTTGTATATAACTATTATATTGTATATAACTATTTGTGAGTACTATACATGGCCTCCCAAAATCACAAGTGCCCAACTACCCATTAATATCAATTTCAAACCACAATGTCTTTCAATAGAAATGTCTGGCTTTTATTACAACTGTTCTTGATGTTGTTTTTGTTGTTAAGATAAAATCATAAATTGATATTCATATGCGATTTTATATACATATTTGAAACATACATAGCTTATAGATCGTAAACTAAATAAGCTTTTGCATGATGGCCGGCACGAAGGAAATTCTTGTTTTAAGCCAAGGTTGCTAGCTTAGAATCTTTCATGGGATTCAACGCTTTACCATTATGGAAAGAAACTGAAAAGTTTCGAACGTGAAAATTTAGTAGTCCTCGCTCGCTCGCTCACTAACTATAGTTAGCGAGTGAGTAGAAGAGTCCTGATCAGCTTGGTAACCAATCGATTATCCTTAATATCACAGAATATTATACTCACCACGAAACTTAAAAAACTACGCTCCCTTAAAGAGTTTGTCAGAAAACATGAACTAGCAGTTGATAACCAATTGATTCCCCAAATGGCAGACAAATTCGGCAATTGCTTTTTATTGCCAATGGGCGTCGGCTGGAAGTACATATTCAAGTACCATACTAATGACACACTCAGATATACAGACTGCCGAATGTGAAGTGCTTGCTCTCCTCTTTTTTATGCTCATGGCTGCCCAGGAACACATTAAAACAATTTGCTATAGCCTTTAAGCACTACTCGGCTGCAAATACTGTCACATGTGGATGTGTGTGTGAGTAGAGAAAGTGTTCGATAATGTTGCCACATTTTCACACATTCAGTCACCACATTAAGCAAATATGTTTGCATGTCGATTGGTTTAAGCCAGACGAAAGCACTTATCGACAAGCTCGTAAAAATTGCCAAAATGTTGGAATGTGTAAAAAGAAAAAATTACAAATTAAAAAATTAAAATATATTAAAGGTCTAGTAAAAAGTAATACATTATTTTTGCAATGTGTATCTTGCGGCAGTCACAATAAACGAGCGGTTAGGGTTCAAATCCTGGTGCGACCAACGTCCAAAACTAATAAAAAACTAAATAAATTAAATAAAAAGTTAGAAAATTTTTCTAATTTCGGTCGCAACTCGGCAAGGTATGCCAAGTCCGTCGAGTGTATTTCTGACGTAAAACAAAAATTTTTTTTCATTAAAATCCTTAGGCCGTTCGGAGGTGGCTCGATGCATTGGTCAAGTAACGAGAAAAACCCTCAGGGCCCCAATTTTCATATGCGAAACGCTGCTGAATCGTAATGAAATCGAACCATTGGACAGTGTGAAGGAAGCAGACGCCGAGAAGCGCCCAGATGTTGCCACCAAGAGGAGAATTGTCCTTTATAAAGATAACTCCATTCAACACACATCGATAATGACTCGCCAGTAGGTTTGAGAGGTTGTTTCGAAGATTCTGACACATCCACCTTATAGTCCGGAGTGCTTTGGCTGGTGAGAAAGCCTGTGAAATCGATTGTCAAATTTTTCGACCAAAGGGGAGGAGGTTTTTTTCGGGAGAGGCCTAATAATATTAACTTTGCAAATGTTAGCCTTCATTTTAAGATGTCTCCGAACTACGGATGCTACTCATGTTCTGTTATTTTTATTTTGGAAGTGTGCTCGGAGTTCTTGAAATTTCTTGCCGGAAAGCGACTGAAGAGAAGATTTTCTTAATTACAGACGCTTCAGCACATATTTCCTTATTTACCTTTCTATACACACACACATATACATATGCAAGAGGGTAAATTTGTATCACTAAATATTATTTCCTCAATTGCCGGTCAATGTAACTATTCACAGTCTACATACCGACGAACTACAACTACACTCAATCCTTCAACACTTGCCCATCCTCTAAGCCAAACACAGCGGCGTCGTCCCATCAATGGCTGACTCGTAATAGTTGGTAATTGTTAATAATGTGTTCACATAATTACTATCGTTGGTTGCGTGCAATTGAGTGGCGTAAATGGCGTCGCTCGTGTGGGGTTTAATAGAATTAAATGTGGTTAAAAGCGCTTTAAAGGCAAACATTTGCGTTTAGAATACAAATTTTATACATTGAAATTATGTTGCTGTTGTTGTTGCTTCGTATAAAACGCTTTAGCTGGAAAGTGTGTTAAAGTGGATTACGTCAAGGTTGTACTAGGTCACAGACCGTAACCAAACGACTAATGGAAAAGTGTTTTTGGTGGATTTTCGCTGTTTTTCTCTCTTTCTTTATTTTATAAATTGTGAATTATATATATGTACATAATATGTGTAAATTTTAAATCTTAAATCGATGCTACTTTCACTTGAAGAATTTAGTATATTCTCCATACAAAAAGCAAGCTTAATACATTTTAAAGTTATGAATCACGGCAACCCTAGCAGGCTGGAGGAATTTTCCCTCCATAGATTCGGTAAACTGTGGACATTTGTCACTAGATCACCCCTCTGGGCATTACAAAAGCTTCCTCCGGACTTGACACCTTCCATCGGGTGTAGTCCCGCAAATCCTCTTATCAGTGTACAACTTTGCTTCCGCCGTTTTTTCCAAAATTAAAAGCTTTATTGAGAAAAAGGGCTTACAGATATATTATT